GGGGAATTCTGGGAGTTGAAGTCCACTCATCTTAAAGTGGCCACGTTTGGACAACACTGGCTTAGTGTGTTACTTTCAGTTTTAACATTGATTTAATGTTGATTTCAATGTTAACAATGTGTAATGTTGTAGTGTTACCTTTTTACTGTATGGGCTGCAGGCCTGAGATTATTCCAATTTTTTGTAATAAAAGCTAGAGGTTGTCCAAATCTCTCCGAGTGCTCTTTGCAGCTCCAAGATGTGTTCCCAGCGTGGCACTTCTGTTGGAAGCAGACCAGGCCAGGCCCCCATGGCAAGCCTGAGTTGTGGCATTTAATCATCTGGTTTTTTGACCAGGAAACTAGCCTCCTTCACTTTGCTTGATTCTTTCTGTTCAACCTAGCGGCTTCTGGTTATAGGTTAAATGGATAAGATTGGGCTTCTTCCCAAATTGTTTAGCATTGCTGGGTTTTAGCAAAGCTAAGGAGACAATAAAGCAATGGATTCTGGATGCAGACCCATAGGGTCAATTATTGTGTTTTGAGAATCTGGGCTCCCATCAGGTTCCCTCTCACCTCTAATCTCTGGAGTCTTAGAAATTAAAAGCATTCCCACTGGCATGTTTTGATATATTGCCCACAACAGTGACACAAGAACATATTCAGAAAATACCAGTGGAAGACTGCATTTGCCTTTGCAGATTTAATTCAAGTACAATCTTTAACTCATGTCTTTCTATATTACTGTTATTGTTGTGATAGGCCTACCCTTATTGCCTCCCTACTACCTGAACTCCTGTAGGGCACTAATGACTGTTATGTATTTTGTAAGCAGATAGAAATGTTCTATATATATATTTAAAGACAAGGACACATATATATATTAAAGACAAGGACAAAATATGTGTGTGTGTGTACAGTGTGTGTGTGTGTGTGTGTGTGTATTTATATATATTTATTTATATTTATATGTTAAGTTTTGTCCTTAAGCCTCTTGGGAGGCTAATGATTACTCAGTGCTGAATACAGTTGTTCAGTTGTCACAATTCTTATCTTTAAAAAAAAAAAGTTTTAATTTTATCGATTTTATTTATTTGCTTTTGAAGACCCAATGTGAACACTGTGTTATGTGACTATAACAAAATGTAATGAAATAGAACAGAGCTTAGCAATGATTATTATAAAAATGAACATTCTGTTTCAAAATTCGCCAGTAATAATTTTCCTGAGAAAACTCTTTATTGGAAGGAGGTTTTATATTAGTGGTATAACAATGTTTTCAGTGGGCCAAAAGGCATAGAATTGAAATCAGGGGATTCAAGGAAAAAGTGTAACTAGTTAAAACAGGAAAATAAAAATAGGATTGTGCCCTATGGCAAATGGGTGCAATTTTTGGAAATCAATTTGGCCTTTGAGTGAAGTGACAGTGAATGATTTTTTTTTTTTTTTAACAAAAAGGGGATAGTTATGACAAAGTAGTTGGCATTAAATTATTACATTACATGTGTTAATATTATCTTGATAATAAAAATACAATTCAATGGTAACTATAACTACAATATTGGAGGGGCTCTAGGATCCACATCCAAATAGCTTGTACATTATGGTCCTGTTGATGAGTACAAATCTGGCAATCTGGAAACTCTAGCTTATGAAGTCAAGAGGAGGCCTAAGTGACTATATAGAGGCCATGTCACGGCTGTCAGTTGCAATTTGCTGAATCAGCAACATAATAAACTGGAAACTTTGGATCAGGCACTTGAATTCCATTTCTTATTTTGAATTTTAAAATACAACTTGCCCATTATATGGACTTAAATATTGAAATCCACATGGTGATTCACAGCTGGTCTACCTATATGATAATGAAGAAGGCTATTATACTGTATTTTACTTTATTTCACTTTTACAGAAAAGATTTCGAAGAAGCTTATATAGAGCCCCCTTGCAGTCTTCCAGATTTAAAAAGTCACAGCTGTTTAGCAGAATTGCATTATGTACCTTCCTCCTAAGGCTGTGCACATCGTGGAAGAGATGTTTTGCTCTGACAAGCAAAGGCAAGAACCCATGTTGCTTCACGTTGGTCTACTTTCTCAGAGCCTCTAAGCCTTCTTGTGCAAAGCTCTTCCTGAGAGGAGCCTTATTCCATTCCATCCTCTCAGTCTTTCTCCTTTCTTCCACTTGAAGTGCTTCTCAGCTGAGCAGGAAACTGGGGCTTCCCACAGCGTGCCCTGAAGTACTCCAACAGCAGGACTGGGGGAGAAGGCTTTAGAGGACCTTTCTCTCATAGCACTGCCTTGAAGTGGTTCAGGGCAATCTGAATTACCTTGAGGCAAACCTCATCACCTCTTCACTTCAATGAAGAGAATCACTTTGCTTCCACAATGTGAATCTCTTTGTCAAAGTGAATCTAAGTCACTTTGCCTACTTCAAATTCTTTCCAGGATATTGATTAGACCTTGCAGTGGCAAGTTCAAAGAACAGAAATTAGCTTTTCAGAAATTTACATTGCATATTAGTCAAGCCAGGTTAAATCTTTAAAAAATCCTAGAACATTTACTCAAAACCATTGGGGCCATTCACAAAGCAATCTGCTCTTGAACTAGATTAATAATAATAATAATAATAATAATAATAATAATAATAATAATAATAGTAGTAGTAGTAGTAGTAGTAGTAGTAG